TTCCATAATGGCTTAATTATAATTGACTCATGATTTCAACTATGAAAACTGTAGTAGCACCCAATAGAGAAGGAAACATTACATATCATGGTTTATAAAGATGACATAGTTCGTAAATTCATTGGTCAGAATGATCTAAGATAGGAAATTTAAAACTAACAAACAAATAAATTACTTACGCCTGTTACTCCTCGTGAAGGAGAATAGGCCGCTCACCAACATTCTGCATCTAAACCTGTCCTGGGCAATCCTTTCTAGCTCCTTCCAGTTGTTATTCATCTTTTTCATATCTGCTTCTATTATCCGACGTAATGTGTTCTTAAACCTTTCTCGTTTCCGCTTTCCTTCACGATTCCAAGTTAGGGCTTGTCTCGTGATGCAGGTCGATGATTTGAGTAATGTATGTTCTATCCATTTCCATCGTCTTTTCCTAATTTCTTCTTCAGCTGGAAGCTGATTTGTTCTCTCCCAGAGAAAGCTGTTGCTGATGGTATCCGGTTAATGGATGTTGAGTATTTTGCGAAGAGAGCTATTTATAAATACTTGTACTTTCTTGATGGTGGTTGTAGTAGTTCTCCAAGTCTCAGCTCCATACAGTAGAACTGCCTTGACATTCGTATTGAAGATTCTCACTTTGTTATTGGTTGAAAGTTGTTTTGAGTTCCATATGTTCTTCAATTGTAGGAATGCTGTCCTTGCTTTACCAATCCTCGCCTTTACGTCTGCATCTGAACCTCCTTGTTCATCGATGATGCTTTCCATGTATATGAAGGATTCTACATCTTCCAGAGTTTTGCCATCAAGAGTGATTGGATCGCTGTTCTCCGTTTTGAATTTGAGGACTTTGATTTTCCGGTTCAGCAACACTCTGTTAATGACTTTCCCTGGTAGTGACAGTAGTGTAATATCTTAACTTATATGAAATAATTTATAACTTGTTATTGAAACAATCAACAAGATGTACATAGTAACATTTGACATTTTTAGTATTTCTTGTATCGAAATTTTAATATTGATAATAATAAAACAAACATTTCATAATCAATAATCATAACTGACTAAATAAAGTTTTATATAAGTACCCTTAATAATATATTGATTTTTAAGATCTCTCTTAGTTTCACTTTTAGATCAATAATAAAATATTGATTTTTAATGTTAGATTATTAGAGAGAGAGAAAGAGAGAGACTCTACAAGTATAAATGGATTGTATAATTTAGTTCATATAAAGCATGATAGAAATTCATTCAATGTTAGGATATTTATATTACTATCCTAAGGAGTGTTTGTAGCTGACTAACTTATTCGGTTGTTGTTGTTTGACAGTTTTATTTTTTGCATCATTTTATATGTATGAATAGACTTAAAGTATAATCTTATTGATGACAATACTCGACTTTGGGTGATACCTTTATATAGTGGTAGGGTTCTCTCATTGTAATAACCTGATCATGGTATACTTACTTACTTACTTACTTATTTACTTTTTCTGGTAAGCGTTTTTTTAGCGAGTTAGTTTTCTATGGGATGGGGACGCTAACCCCATGCCCAACCCTCCTCCTTTACCCGGGCTTGGGACTGACAGTAACTCTAAAAGAGCTACAGGTGGAGTTGGTATACTGGTTGGAATATTGGTTCCTTTAGATCCTATCATACCAGGTAGGTTGGTTGAAGAGTGGTTAGTGTGAATTTAGTAATTAAAGATGAAGTCATGCAATTACTATTCTGAAGTGTGACGTCAGTTGGTTGTTCGCCTTAGACATTGAGCATTTACAGTAATACTTCCTTCCTACAATGGAAGAAGGAGGTTAAAAAAGATTGACCCTAAAATATCACTTTTCATTTTACCTCAGAGAACTTTTGTCATAAGAAGTATAGCAACTTGTAGACGCATTGTATGATAGTTACAAATCGTATTTATAGGCTGAATACATATAATAAAAGGTCAATCAATGACACAATCAGAGGTCAACTGAACAATACGGTCACTCTGAATATAAAGACAAATGAAGACAATGAAACCTAGATGAACAACCACTTACAAACAAGAGTACAAGGGCGAAATTGATGCGAGGCTTGTGAAAGCTTACGTTTACATGAAGTCAACTCTGATAATATTGTTTAAAATCACAATTAAAGCTTCTTAGTTTAGGTGTCTAATTCATAAAACTTTAGCATACCAAAAAAACTAGTCAATCACTCTAGTTTTAATTATCTCGTTTATTTTATTTATTTATTTGAACACATAGATATTGGTACAAAGAAGTACTAAATACATATGCGCCACACAAATCTCATTTGATATGTATGAGGGCCATGATACTGCCCGGGTGCCGAAACCAAAACCGGTGGGAGCCACACCTGGGGCCTTCGACCTGAAGGTCTGATCCACAAAGCAGTGAAGCATCGTAAGGAGATGCAGTCTCATGGTAGCCGGTGACCAATATTTGATTCGTACACCATTTGTTCTCTCACGATTCTGGAGCCGATGTACACCATTGGTTTTGGATCAGGGTTTTCGAACTCCCCTATAGGGATCCTCCATATCCACCAAACCGGTTAAAGCACCGGACATTCTCTTCTCGTCCTCTTAATTTCGTAAACAACACCCGTGGTTTAAGAAGGCAGAGAGTAGGAATTCCCTGGCAGAGGTTATATACCCGTGGCTATGTGGGAGCATTTGGAGAGGGAGAGAGGACCCTCCCCACTCTCGGCCATACCAGGGCGTTTGGGGGCTACCACTTGATGAATCTCTAGCTTTGCAAACCTTAGTTATTTCCAATTTCTACAACAGTTTTTGGTATTTCGCTTTACCATAGATTTGCATAAATATAGTTTTCAATGTTTTGTGGTTGAGATAATCGAGTGAAAACTTTAAATCGAGATTTCGTATCAGTAGTTTTGAAGGAACTAGTACTTCAACTTCACAGTCTGAAACGTTCCCAACCAGCAATTCGAGCAGTGATTAACCTTCTATATGGTTGAAATATTTACAGTTGATCGATAGGGTCTGATTAGCACTGAAAGAATTAATATGAATGACATTGATCAGTTCTCAGTGATCAACCAATTTTAAACACCTTGCAATATTCTAATACCTAAGTGAATAAAGCATAAATAAGTCATTTGTACCTTCAGTTTATGATGAGAAACATGGTATTTCATGAAAGAATTTCAATGCTGATGTCCAGTAGAATATGGTAATCAAAATATATCGAAAACATTATAGTTATTCATTCAGTTATTAACAACATGAAATTCAGCACATAAGTGGATCGATTCATATTACTTTGCCAAATCAACAAACACTGAGATGATCATAGGTGTCTTCAAAGCATTGCTCGTACATCTTGAGACTACCGAGTAAGTAACTCAGTTGTTAAAAAACGGGTACTAGGATGGCCAATCAATTGATGAAGTAGTGAAACTTCATCAGTTGAGATGGCTGGGACATGTATTACGTATGCCCAACCACCGACTACCTCGATGTGCGATGTTTTGTTGTATAGGAGTAGATTGGAAGAAAGCTAGGGGCGGCCAGACCCAAACGTGGCACAAATCCATGAAGTCATTGACAAGTAGACTGAGTCATGTTGGTAGGTGTAGACTACCTGGTTGGGGACCGCGAGATGATAGCAACCGATGGTTAGAGACCCTGAATGACATGGCTCAAAATCGTTTGCAATGGCGCAGGTGCATCCACTCTTTGTGTTCTCCCAAATTCTAATCTTCTGAATTCTTCATGTCCCTTTCTTTTTTCTCTTTCCAAATTTATTGAATAACATATTCAAACCCTAGTCTTTCCGATTACTGCTTATACTTTTACTACCTCTACCACTATGGGATTTCAATTGACAATTGTATCTCTGTGATAATGTGGTATGGCAACTTGAACTGAAGTACCTACATACGAATTTCTACATTGTTGCTGACTGAGTGAATGAGTATATTTCATGGTAGTAAGAGAAAAGACTCGGCACATGAGAAGGTAGGTGCTCGCATGCGACACTCATATGTCCTGGGTTCGAGTCTCATGGGACGGGATCGTGGATACGCACTGTTGAGGAGTCCCACAATAGAACGAAACGGCCGTCCAGTGCTCCCACGTTTTCCACAGTGGTCTAACTTCAACTGACTCATGTTATCAACTATTGTAATCAATATTTATGAAGAATAAGAGTACTTCAGAAAAAAAATAATCATTAGTTATAATTGTGTTTAAATTCTATATTGTTCAACATTTAATTAAGGTTGATCCATTTGAAAATTTTAAAGAAAGTAACAGTGTAACGTGTAATTAATTACTAATTGTGCAACTATGTAATTGTGTCTGTGTGCTAATGTATGTCTACATATATGTATGTGTGTATGTCGTTTATTTTTTTTTCTCATTGACAAAAACCTTCCGCCTAAACATTTTCTTTTTTCTGTTTACTAAAGTGTGCTGTTTCGCTCTCTCTCTCACACACACACATTTTTCTTGTTGCCACCATCCAACACTCCTCCCCTCCCTGTCCATTTATGTATTGATTTGTAAGAGTTTTTATTCTTTTAGAAAGTTTGTTTATTTTATTCCACCCATGATTAGTTAATAAATATGAAAGAATAACAAACAGCTTCATAAGTATTATTATTATTATTATATTATAATTGTTATTAATTAATTTGTTTATTTATTTCAGATTATTTATTGAACATAAATGATAATTTGATGTGAATTACTTGTATATTAGATCTTTAAAAAAAATAAGATCAGATCATTCTAGTTGTCAACAAAAGAAAACAAACAAATCACTATCACCACCATCATCATCATCATCGTCATCACCACCACCACCACGAACAACAACAACGACAACAACAACGACTTAGATCTAGTGCTGATCATTCTACAAACCAAACACAAACATTCATCTAACCGGAATTTCATCCAATTTATTACTTCATTGATTATATAGATAGATAGATGGATTTTAAGGGAATTTGATAAATTATATAAATGGTAATACAAATGATTGATCATTTATTGATTTTCTCTTTATTATTATGTCCAATAATTCTTTCGGCTGAATTATCATCATCGTCATCATCATCAGCATCAACATTAATGAGTACAATATCTCCTGTAAAATTAATTCATTCTAAAATAATCTATTCAGTGGATATGAATCCAATTGGAATATGTCAACCACCATGTTTAAATAATGGAATATGTCGTCGTGATCGTCATCCCCATAGTAATAATAATAGTAGTAGTAGTAGTAATAATAATGATAATTTAAAGGAAAATGATTCAAAATGTATTTGTACACCAGATTTCAAAGGGATTGATTGTGGTGAAGGTAAGTATGATATAATTATTGTTGAAATGTAACTTTATGTGTGTATTGTGTTGATGAAATTTTGAGGAGATACTTTTCTAATAAGAAATTATGGGTGTGAAACAAATCAGATTATGATGCTATTGCTGAAGAGTCCCACAAGAGGACGAAATGGTTGTCCAGTGCTTTCACGTTTTCCATAGTGGTCTAACTTCAACTGAATCATGATATCAACTATTCATGATTCAACTATCCAGTGCTTCGAGGTTTTCCATGGTGGTCTAGCTTCAATTGACTCAGGATTTCAACCAGTGAAATTTCTAAAATCTCCACAAACCCTTTCTGATAATAATCACCTGCTCACTGGTGACTGACTTCAAGAGATATTCCCAGAGTTCTAGTGAGAAGCCGTTACTCGTGGAGTTCAACCAGGTCGGTTGTGACAAATCAAATCACTGAAAATAATGGTATGCGGTAGCGCAGCTTCGCGGATTGGTTGAAGTTAGACATTAACACCATTGGATGCCGGCTTAGTGGTCTAGTTGCTTAAGAGCTTGGCGCGAGACTGATAGATCTTGGTTTCGAATCTCTGGGGGGCGGGATCGAGGATGCGCATTGCTGAGGAGTACCAAACTAGAACGATACGGCCGTCCAGTGCTTCGAGGTTTTCCATGGTGGTCTAGCTTCAATTGACTCAGGATTTCAATCTTTGAAATATTTTAAAAATAATACATATATACAGGGGATATAAAATAAAGCTTGTATGTTCCCATTGTTAATGTTAAGGAATGTAAAATGATCAGTTTCTATTGAAATAGGACGGAATCTGAATTCGTAATCCCATTTTCATCCACTATTCAACATTAAAATATTTGGTAACTAAATGATAATACTGAGTCAATTTTGTTCAAGACTGATCGATTTCAAATGTTAGCATCAATAACGAGGAAATACAAGTCCTTACTGATCCTGAGTGTTGTTAGAGGTATGAGAGCGGTTATCACTTCCTGGTTGCCCACACCGTGTAACGGTTCTTCTAGAGGTACCTGAAAAGAAAATTGTGTTAAGGGTGGTCTTATTGACTTGAGAGCGTGACCCTAGTGCCAAAAGTCCAGCTGTTTCTGGCAGGTCACACATAATCTTTTTGTGAGTAGTTCTCGTGTCAGCTCTGCACTTGGCGGGACCTTATTGCCGTGGAATAAGAAGACATATGCATTTTCAGGGTCGACATTTTCTACCCCCACCCTTTCTTATGGGAAGGCAGCATCGCTGCTATGGTGGTTGTCTGAAGGAAACACCTTACTGTTGTCTGTACAGTCAGCAGAACGATATTCCCCTCGGACCTTGGGTTTGTTGCTTTTAAACTTACCGCTCTTCAACCGACCTGTCTGACATGGTAAGACCTTGAGAAACGATTGTTCCAGCCAGTATAGCTCGATTAATTAATCACGATAGGCAAGCCCGACCACCACGTCAAGTTAGCATCAACGGTCGGGTCCTTACTAATACATTCATACCTATTGAGTAAGTTACTGTTTATCTGGGCTCAGTTACTTACTGAATAATGCAGTGGTCATTCAAAATTAAAGGTACCGAGTATCTTGATTAGGATGATCATCATTGAGAGGAAAGTACATCTGACAGACTAATCCCAAGAAGATAAAAAAAAACATCTTGGATTTCAGTACTCACTACTATCCAACTTTAAAAAAAAACTCTTCATTTGATTGTGATATTTTTTATCTCTTGTAACAAAATATGTACATTCATAAAAACTAGGTATGTCACATAATTAACTAGAGGTAATTTGACACTAAGTACAGTTATTATTATTAGTGAACCGTATAATTTGACTTGCTAGCCAACACTCAAGTCGACCAAATTAGTGACTTAATTTCTAATTATTTAACAAGTAAACTGTTGTGACTTTAAGCCTGGCTAATTATCACATGATTTATTCGCCAATCGAAATATGACTTATACAATCTTAACATTGCGCCAAACCAATGATGTATCGACCAGTATGGGGAACCTAGCATCCATATTGACCCTTTTCCCTCCCAGCCTTTTCAGTTGAGTTCAGAACACCAATATCACCTTCCACTGAGCAACTCATTCATGTCGAACATACCTACTTGATTTATGTACCAGCCAAACAGACTGTATCACACCATAAAATAGGAACTAACATTTGTACAAGATCAAGCCAATAGGTAGCTGTGAACGTGAGAGACTGTAATCAACATATGCCCTTGTACGGCCGAGAGTGGAGAGAGTCAGCTCTCTTTCCCCAAATGCTCTCACATGATCACGCGTATATAGCCTGTGCCAGGGAAGTCCTAATCACTGCCTGCTCGCAACATTATTGTTGTTTACGAAATTGAGGGGACGAAAAGCGAATATTCGTCGCCTTAACCGGATTGGTGGACACGGAGGGTTCACCCAGGGGAGTTGAATCCTAAGGAAACAAATGACATATAAACCTATTGTTGGTCACCGGTTACCGGAACTGCATAAACTGACGTCACTCCACTGCCTTGTGGATTAGACCTTTAGGTCAAAGGGTTGGGGGGCCGGCCCCCTAAGAAAACCGTCTGCTCAGGTCTGGGCACCCGGACAGTATCACAGCCCTCACACAAATTGAATGATTTATGTGGCGCATATCTATTTGGTGCCTCTTTGTACAGATGTTTATGTGTTCAAATAAATAAATAAATAAAATAAGTAAACATATCATAATAGTCTATAGATCATAATGTAGCTTATAATAAGAGGGATATGAATATACATAATCTAGTAACTGAATAGTTATACAGTAATATTAGTCTATTAATAGTTTACAGAAATTACCCGTAATTTATTCTTCACTAGGATATAACATAAACTTGTACAAAACTTTACTAGTTTTCCTTCTTATTTGCGTATTCTTATAATCGCGAAAGCTCCACGACCAAACCATCTAGCTCAGAGAATAAGACTCTATCAAAAAGTGTAGATTTAGTCCTCAGGTTATTAAAAGCGACCATGAAATCGGATTGAGCGTTCATCTAACATGACTTATCGATTACATGTCTTAAGCTTTAGTGAAGTTTACCTAAACTAGCAAATCAGTAAAAATGACTAACTTTTGAGATGATGGAGAAGATTTGTAGCTCAGGTGGATGATTTTGGTGGAGTTTTGTTCTCTGAGCTCCACGACCAAACCATCCAGCTCAGAGAACAAAACTCCACCAAAATGACCAACTTTTAGATGTTGCGTGGTATAATAATAGATATTTATCACACATCAGTCAGTCAGTCAGTAACAACGTAGAACTTCGTACGTACGTACATCAGTTCGAGTTGCCACACCACATTAGCACAGAGATCCAGTTGTCGATTCAAATCCCATAGTGATAGAAGTAGTAAAAGTAAAAGAATTCAAAAGATTAGAATTCGGCAGAATACAAAGAGTGGATGCACCTTCGCCATTGCAAACGATTCTGAGCCATGTCATTCAGTGTCTCTAACCATCGGTTGCTATCATTTCGCGGTCCCTAACCAGGTAGTCTACACTTACCAATATGACTCAGTCTACTTGTCAATGACTTCATGGATTTGTGCCAAGTTTTGGTCTGGCCGCCCCTAGCTTTCTTCCAACCTACCCCTATACCACTGAACATAGCACGTCGAGGCAGTCGGTGGTTGGGTATACGTAACACGTGTCCCGGTAGAAGTTCAACCCCTGGAAATTTAGATGAGGAGAGTGTTATCTCTAAAAGTACGTCGACCACAAAGTTGAACAAGAAAGGAGAGAGTGGATAGCCCTGACGAACACCACTCGAGGTAATCAATTCTGATGACGGTTCGCCATAAGCTTTCACTCTACTATTTGTGTTCGAGTAGAGAGCCTTTATAAGGTTAATGTACTTCTTTGGTACTCCTTTTAGTGACAAACACTGCCATAGAACCTCACGATCAACAGAGTCGAATGCCGCCTTAAGGTCGAGAAATACTACCATTGTGGGGCGTCTGAATGTGTGTCCCTGTGAATCTATTTTTTTGAATTTGAACACGTATTTATTTCATTAGGTTTCTATTTGATCATACAAGATTATCTGAAATTCTCATAGTTATAAGAGCTGTGTTAAAGTTTATGTGAAAGTTTTTGTACTAACACACTTATCGTAACTAACTGTTAGTTATTAAGTGGATTGTTAAAAATTTGTGGAGATCGTTAAATTCGATGTTTATTTCATAGTTTTATAAGGCAGATTGACTACAATTAGACAATCAGCGGAAACTGCGAGGCACTGGGCAGCTGTTTCATTAAAACATAAAACTATTCAGCATTGGACATCCATGATTCCACGACAGAGATTAATATCTAGGACCTAGAAACCTCATAGCGAGCCCTTAAGCTTTAGACTATTGAGCTGGGAACGAATGGTTTCGATTTCTAGCTACACTTAATCTGGGATGTTAACCAAACATTAACCATCTCCATTAATGAGATTTATCTTATCTCACATATGATTGAATTTCCTCAGTCATGAATTCGTATTAAAACTCCGAGAATTGACATTAGTTTCGAAAAGTTGTTGAAAAACTAGGAGCCAGTGAATTTCTGTTTTGTCATAGAGGAAGACTATTTATTCTGTTATTGAACATTAGTAACAATTACTGATCTTAGATAAAATAGTTATTCAGTGCGACCAAGTTTTGAACAATCAACTATCTTGAATGACTAAGAGATTGAAGATAATCATTGTTATTCATGGTGGATATAGAGGATCCACCAAGGGGAGTTGGAAAACCCTGATTCCAAACCAATGGTGCACATTGGGCTACAGGATCATGAAGGAACAATTTTCGATCACTCTCTACCTGGGCACTCCATCACCTGACGTTGCTCTACTACCTTGTGGATCAGATCTTGAGGTCGAAGGCTACTGACGTGACCCCCTAAGAAAACCAACTTCTTCTGTTTGGGCACTGACACAGTATCCCATCCCACACAAAAATCAAGTGACTTGTGTGGC